AGCGGGCTCAGCCCGCGGGGGATGAGCGAGAGCCCGGCCCCGCTCGGGACACGGCTCCATCTCCGGGCAGCGATGCCGATCCCGGAGCCGCCGCCGCCGCCGGTCGGAACGAAGGCTGCCGGGAGCTTCCGGCGGGCGGGGCGGACGAGGGAGGCGGAGAGAAGCGGGTTCCGTCCTCCGAGAGGCTCCGTGCGCCCCCGGGAGGGACGCACTGCCTGGGGAGTGGCTTGGCAGTGGCTGTTAGTGTTTTATTATGATTGGATTTTATTTTAATTTTTCGGGTATGTTTTATTAACGCGCTTTCCGAGTGGTGCCGCTCTCCTCTTCCTGCGGACTGAGGCGTGGAAAGCCGGCCGAGCCGGGAGCTGGGCCTCTGCGGGGGAATGAGGGCGCTGAAAGGCGCCGGGTGCCCGGGAGAGCGGGACAGCTCAGGGCCCACCGCGGGGCCGGTCACCGGCATCGCCTCCCGAAGAAGGTCGGGACTTCACCTGTGCCAGGTCCCGAAGACAGACGGGGAAGGGACGGGTTTGTTGTCCGTGCCCCGCTCTCTGTCCCTGACCCCTTCTGTTCGGTGGCCGCTGCAGGTGATGTGCAGAAGCGAAGACGAAACGCCGCGGCGTGGGTGCTCCGGCAACTGAGCCATCACGGCATCTCCTTCCTCGTCCCCCACCCGCATTGTCCAGGGAGAAATGCCTCGCTGGAAGACCGATGGGACCCTGTGAGCAGTCCTTGTCTCGGTGCTTAGGGTACTCTTGAATGGTAGAAGAGCTTTCGGCCTCAGGAGGCTTTGAAACCGGACCCGGCTTTTCTGTGCGGTGCTCTAAGAGCTAAACTGCGCCAAAGAGGTGAGAACGACACAAAGACAAATCCCACCATGCGAGTTCGGGACTCTGCCCTTCTGGAGGGAACGGGATTTTCTTTCCGGATGCTCGTCGGTGGAGACAGTCGCCCTGAGGCGGCCGATGTGGAGCTGCTGTGCGGTACTTTCCATTTTGGGAAAAGTCCTGTATGACGGGAGCGATTCTGTCGGAACTGCTGCTTTTCCTTCTCTTGCCAATTCTTCATGTCTTGTCTCCAAGTGTAACTGGAATAATGATCTAATTTCAGCGTGGGTCTAAATAGAGTATTCCAAACACCCCTGGAAATGTCTGTGTGTCTCTCCACTCTCTACAGAGCAATAGGAGATGAACCTTTTGACTTGTGTTTGTCACTGGGCTGTGCTTGCTTTTCTAAGAGTCCAGCGGTCAGTCTGTGAGCTCTGATGGATGCTCTGAACTTGTCAAAACACCCAAAGTTATTATTTTTCAGGACTTTAATCCGTTCCTGCCTAATGAAGGGGACTCAAAGTAACGTTCAGGCGCTTGATGGACTTTCAGGGTGTTAAGATGACTCGTTTATACTGATTTTTTTCTACAGATCCTCGCTGTGGATCACCACTCCTCACGTCTCGCTGCTTAGTCAGAAGCACTGGGAATGCTCTGAGGCTGACCAAAGCTGAAATAGCTAAACCAAGCCTTCCATCAACTCGTGTGCTTTCTGCAGGATCATTTCAGCTTTTTCTTCTGACCTTTGTGGGTTCCTCTTGTAGGTGTAGGTGGTATGAAAGGAACTTAGTTGTGTAGTAGTAATGCAATGCTACAATGCCTAAGGATTCGCCAATGTCATCCCCTACCCCACTGCTACTCAGATAAGTACCTGGATTTCATCAGTGTGAGAATTTCGCATGGACTGGATCTGAATAAGCAAGAAACAACTCTTCCTCTAGGTGATCTTGGAGTCTTTGGCTCTGTCTTCGTGTTTAGAAACATTTTTATTTCTAGTTAAGGTCAGATGTTTGGCGTTGTGGAACCATTTAGTGAAGCTGCTACTTGGTGGATATGAAAGTTATATAGACAGGTGTTCAGACCAAAATAAAAAGAACACCGTACCCTGTGTTCTTGACGTCACTGCTTGTCACCTCATTAGCAGCTGTTTTACTGATTTAAGATATCCGACTACATTTTGCATACAGCAATCCTAACTTAGTACGGCTCTTAAGATACTTCTAGATCGAATTTGCTGACATCAGCATTACATTTTCACCTCCATGAACACGGCATGAAGTATTTCTCCAGAGAAGACCTACTTATTCCAGGTAAGTGAATTAATAGCAAACAGAAACAGGTAAGTGTGAGGGAAAAACCCCAATCAACCGAAACAAACTCATCACGAAAATAAAAACAAAACCAACTGAACAAACAAAAACCCAAAACCAACCCAAAACATAACCAAACTAAAAACCCAAACAAATGAAGAAAACCCAAGCCAAAAGCCAAAATCTGTCCTGCTTAAACACCTCTTGTCCTGGATTCACATGGAGCAAACATGATTGATTTGTTGATAGAAGATCATCCCCAGCATCTCTTCCCATCCATGAGTCAAGACAGTGATCTCTACCCAAACGACTGTATTTCCTTTTGCTACAGAAATTGAAACAAACTGCCAGAAAACTCCAGGAAACCCATGAGTTCGTGAACATGTCTCCAGATCAACCTGACAAAAATTGTGCTGTGCAGAATTTTCTCGCCAGTCCTCTGTTATGAAAGAGATTAATTCTGTTGCCTGCACCTGGAAAAAGTTAACAAATGCTGTTCTACTTGATAGAATGGATTTGCCTGTGTCTCTTTACTTGTGGTCTATGGTAAGGAGAGTGTGAATCGGCAAACCTGATCCAAGGAAGAGAAGGACAAAGCCCGTGTGGATGTTAGGAGCGAGAAAAGGATGTGCTAATGGGTTTAATCAACCCCAGTCCTCGGCAGCAGCAGTGCCTGCCAGAGGCTCCTTTTGCTGTTTACCGTGGGCTGCTCCACGCGAGAGAAGAGCTGGAGGGGAGGACCACTCTTTATCTTCAAAGCCTAATTCCACCAGGATTTGGGATATGAAACATAACCTGTCTGAATGTCTTCCTCGGGGAGAAAACCCGGTTGCTGGTTGTGGTACGAAAATGCAGGTAAGTTACACAGACACGGTAGGAATAATTAATCTTTGCATTGATGGCATAAGCCAGACAAAAATGGCATCAGGGATGAATCTGGAATGAAGACATCATTTATACCCGCAGAAAACTTTCAGCAGAAGGTTTCCATATGAACCAGTGGCACAGATCAATAAAGCAGGAGCACAAACTGGTCAGTAACACAATCGTATTTAATAATGTTTTGAACCGTGGTTTGTGTACAGAAGCTACAGAGGTGGCAGCAGAAGTTATTCTTGTCCTTGGTGCTCCCTAGGGAGGTTCTGTGGCCGCGGGGCCGCTGCTTGCAGGGCCCTGGGGCAGGTGGTGAATGTGAACAAGGGCAGGTGAATGCAGACGAGGGCAGAACGAGAGCATCTGAACGATTTTGCTGTGAAGCTTTAAATAGTGGTAGAAAATCTTCCCACAGCCACGAAATCGGCTTTGCTGGGATGGAGAAAGGAAGACTGTACATATTTTTCTTTTCTTTTCTTTTCTTTTCTTTTCTTTTCTTTTCTTTTCTTTTCTTTTCTTTTCTTTTCTTTTCTTTTCTTTTCTCCCCCGTTAATGAGGAATGTTGTGGTGGGGCAGTGTCTGCATACTGTGGCAGTGACCCTTTTAGGGATTGGGGATTTGTCATAGGGAAGCTGAATTTGAGTAGGGAAGAGTCTTTCTTGATGGAAGATGCTTTGTAGCACGTGGGCTGTGTCATTAGTGACAAACTGCAGAATATCTGCCTAGCTGGATATCTCTGCCCCTGCATGGGGAGGTTCTTGCTCTGTCCTGGCAGAGGTTGTCTCCCGGAATGGAGAAGCAAGAGCTTGCCATTCATCGTGCAGGTGGAAAAGGAGGCTTCGAGAGCAGCTCTTTATTGAGCTGTACGAATAGCGTGCAGGAGCTGTGCTGGTCCTGTGCTTTTTCAGCATTCTTGCCTCCAAGAATGTGTGTGTGGTGGGCTGGGCTCTGATGGGTTTGAATCTCCGAAGGAAAGATTCAAACAATCCCCTGGGTTTTTGGTGTAATTGAAGCCTTTTACAAAGATCTCGAAATTTCTGGGGCTTGGGCTGCTTTGTCAGAGTGAGGTGGATTCTCTTCACTGAGATAAGGAGTTCAGGGGTGTGTCCGTCTTCCAAAACGGGAGGGAAGTGATGAAGGAAGGGACAGTTTATCTGTCTTGCATAAATTACAGAAAAGCAGGAAGCTTGTTTCTCATCTGGAGATATGAAAGTCGGCAGGAAAAAGGAAGGGCAGCTCATGCCAAAATACACGTCCACATTGCATGTCAAGAGTGATGTAATAATGAAAAATTAGCTTGTTAAAGACACAAAAAAGAGGCAAAAAGAGAAGAGAAGAAATCGGGGGAACAGAAGACTATAAGAAAGAAAAGCAGGAAGAAACAATGCAGAAATAAAAGATAAGGGGAAAAAGATGAAGAAATAAATGAAAAGAGAGAGAGTAGAAGAAACCATAAACTATTTTAGTGACATGTCATTGATGGTATCACGGCACACAGAAAGAAAGGAAGGTGAGAAAGAAAGGAAGAAAGAAAGGAGGAAAACACATTACAAAGAAAAGAAAATAAGATTAAACCATTAGTTACATTACAAGAATGCACCAAATACATAGCAGAAGAATACAGGAATGGAGGAGAAAGATAAGAAGGAATATGTACCTGTAAACTAGCAAAGAAGAAAGGACAGAGAGAAGCAGACGAGAAGACCAACACACACCGAAATTACCTCTAGATGTGGAATGGAGCAGGTGCCTAAAAAGATCCGGCTTGCGGAGAGCATCACATCCGGCGCTGGTGTCCGTAACTCGTGCTATCCGCTCCTGTTTGCTGATGCCAACCGCGGTGCCAAAGGCAACGAACGATCCACCAGAAGGGGTAAGGAAGAGAAAAGGAAAGAAAGAGAAGGGAAAGGGGAGTAAACGATAGGGCATGACAAGGCAAGGATGAAAAAAAGAACAAAGAGAAGAAAGAAAAAAGGGAAATAAAACAGAAAGGGGAAAAAAAACCCAAGAAGAGACAACGGAGAAACTAGAGAAGGCTAAGGAAGGAAGACAAGGCAAGAACGAAAGAAGAAGAAGGGGGAAAAAAGAGACAAAAAAAGAGAGAAAGAAACTCGATCACGGTAGGAAAAAACATCAGAGGAGCCGGCCATCCGCGGGGTGGCAGCGCAGGCGAGGATGCGGAGCGTGTGCGGCGCCGGAGCAGCGCACGGTGTCGCTGCAGGCTCAGGAACGGCTCGGTGCGGGCGGCTCCGCCCCGGTGCGGCGGAGAGCCCGGCTGTGAGCGCGGGGGGGCGGCGCGGGCCGGGCAGCAGAGCCGGTGCGTCCGGGCGGCGGCGGGGAGCCGTGCGGGGCCCGGGCCGGGGCCGGCAGCCACAGCGGCAAGAGCGGCGAGAGCGGCAGCGGCGGCAGGGAGGATGGGCGAGCGGTGGTGTGCGGCGGTGCTGCGGGTGCTGGTGCTGCAGGCGCTGGCCTGGGCGCTGGCGGGCGGGCAGGTGCGCTACTCGGTGGCGGAGGAAGCCAAGGCCGGCACGGTGGTGGGCCGTCTGGCGCAGGACCTGGGCCTGGAGGCGGGCGAGGCGGAGGCGCGGCGGCTGCGGCTGGTGGCTCCGGGCCGGCGGGCGAGCGTGGAGGTGAGCGGGGCGAGCGGCGCGCTGCTGGTGAGCTCGCGGCTCGACCGGGAGGAGCTGTGCGGCAAGAGCGCGCCGTGCGCGCTGCGCCTGGAGGTGCTGCTGGAGCGGCCGCTGCGCGTCTTCCATGTGCAGCTGGAGGTCACCGACATCAACGACAATGCCCCCGTCTTCCCCGCCGCCCGGAAAAACCTCAGCATCGCGGAATGGACCACTCTGCCCGGGTCTCGTTTCCCGCTGGAGGGCGCGTCAGATGCGGATATCGGAGTGAACGCGCAGCTCTCCTACACACTCAGCCCCAGCGAGCATTTCTCTCTGGACTTACAAAAAACGAATGAGCGAAATATTGAGCCTGAACTGGTTTTAACGAAAGCTCTGGACCGCGAGACGATTCCCGTGCACCGGTTGGTGCTGACGGCGAGTGACGGGGGCCGGCCGTCTCTGACGGGGACAATGGAGCTGCTGATCTCGGTGCTGGACACGAACGACAACGCCCCCCAGTTCAACCAGTCGGTGTATAAAGTGCAGCTGCCGGAGAGCGCTGCCGTAGGAACGCTGGTGATGAGGGTGAATGCCACGGATGTAGACGAGGGAATTAACAGTGAAGTGACCTATGCTGTTACGAATTTCATTCCCCCGACTGGAAGAGACGTGATTTCCATCAATCCTAATACCGGGGAAATTCATCTCACAGCAGCCCTGGACTTCGAAGAAGTCAGTATATTTGCCGGTCAGTGGCAATACCTTGCTCGTCTTTTCCCCCTATCCCAACCTCTGTCCCGCCAGGTGTGCAGGCTCTGCGGGAATCCGGGCTCCTTTCTATGAGTGCTTGACGGGTGCTTAAGGGTATCAATGGCAGGTTAGCATCTGGCCTTAAGGGGAATATAGAATTACTGCCGCAGTCTAGAGCAGTTATGGTCCGCAGCTGCAGTTTGCTGCTCTGTGTGTAAACTGTTCTGTTCTAGAATGAAATCACTGCCCATTGCGGTGAGACTTGCCCCACGGTGTCAGCTTTGGAAACTGTCTTGCCTGGTTGTGTTTAGTATTTCCACCCGAGCTTGCTGAAGGAGTGCAAGACAGGGGGGCTGTGGTTCTGACAGTCCTCCCGGCACTACACTCCGCCTTATTGCCTTTGTTGACTGATACTCTGCCTGTTTTATTGTGGATTGTTACTAAAACTTCTTTTCTTTCATTTCTCTCTGCACGAGATGTGATGCAGTGTGGCTATTTGGGCACCAAGGAAACATCGTCTCTAGCTGGTTCCTCCACTAGAATCATTAAGGATTCAATAAAGGCAGTATAGAGTTTTTCCATGTTCTTTTTTGACGTATCTTCTTGCTTTTCTTACTAACGCATGGGTTCGGGCAGCCCAGTGTGACCAAAAATAAATGTGACAAAGGTAGTTTCTCTTCCTGCTGCCCAGTCCCCCACATTGTGGATTTGTGTTTCCATTCAGAGAGGTCTCATGGAATACCCTGGCTAGTTTTGCCCTTTCCAAATTTGTATCGATAGCCACATTGTTTCAAAAGCCTTGGGGCAATATTCCTCTCTACAACTAGAAAGAAATATCAAGCCCCAAGCCCGAGCCTTCCCCACCAAATCTCCAATAACGTTTCTGCAGATGGTCAGGTTTGCATGTTACATTCGTATTCCGGTTTCTCTCTCAGAGCATGACATCAGTGTCATTCCCATTTAGAGACATCTTGACATCACCTTTGGAAAGAATATTGTTACCAGGTAATGTTTTCTTCTGAGGTAGTTACAGCATTGCAAAACACGATGGGTCAGCTGCAGAGAGTGTGCTGTCTAGCTTGTACATGATACTGTCAGCGTTTTGTGGTGCTGCCGTTGCTGAGAAGGACAAGGAAACTTGAAATGGGCCTTGAGTGGGCAGTGAATCTGTGGCCTGTGGTACTGGGTAGGGCCTGACCATTTCCTGGTGTGAGGGGTGACCTTGAGCAGTAGGAACATCTGTCTGTGGGAACTGGAATTCCTAGGGGAGGACATGAGTCATGACATAAGACAAGAAATGGAGTTGATGTGTTTGTCTTGAGAGTACATGTCCCAGGATACCTGGAGGAATGAAGCAGCATGAACACAGAGTGGTCTTTCACAGGATGATCTTCAGGGTCCAAAGTGTCTTCAATTGCAGGTTTTATGGATCTTCAGATAGTCACATGGTTTTGAAATAGCAAAAATACTCTTTGACCTTATGAATATCTTCTACCTGAGAAGAGTCCCTTCTGCTGCTGAGCGATTACCATAGGAAATGTGTAAGAGGAGATGGCATGCAGAACGCTAGATGTTGTCTGATGAACCTTTGCCTGCTTGTTTTGAGAAAGGAGTTGTGGGAGCATTGCATTTCAGCTTGCTGGGTATCCACAGTCACTTCCACATTCATAGAGTTTGCTGTGATGGTTCCTTGCTTCTCCTCGGGTGGGATTAGTAACCAGATGTGATGAGAAGGTGGGAGTAATCTCTGTGTACTTGTTTCCCCTCCTTGTGCACTTGCACTCTCAGCCTGGGTAGCAGAGCTGTGTCCCCTTGATGCAGTTAGCTCTGAAATGTGTACATATACATCAAACCTTCCAGAGCAGCCCAGCCCTGGTGTTATATTATAGAAATATCATGCACATTTCTATGGGGATATCCACACAGTTGATATCGTGAGTGCACTTGCACTTTAGCATTTGATGTGGCACTTCCAGTAAAGTCTGTGTGAACTGGGATCACAGCTGTAACAGCACTAATCACCGGATTTTTATGAACTCTAATGTGGAGCGCCGTGATGTTTCTCCCTGAGATGGCTGAAAAGCACAAAGTATTCATAGTGAAATTCACACAGCTGGGAAGAGCCTGCCAAATGCTGTGTAAATTTGCACCATTTCATACATTCTTTGAGCCAGTTGTGAGGGGTGCTGAAGGCTTGGCTTGTGCTCCAAATGTGTTTTAAGTGCTGGTCTGTCATGGTGGCACTGTGTCTGCGTACTGTGGCAGTGGTCCTGTAAGTGAAGAGGGTTTTGAGATGTCCATCGGAGGGGCGTGACTTTGAATAAGGAAGTTTCTTCTCTGAGGAAATGAGGACATTGTGTTGAACATAGACTATTATTATTGGGGAAGAACTGGAAAATATCTGCATAGCTGTGGAGAGGCAACTTCCCAAGGCAAGGGATAGAATATGCAAATAGAATACCTTGAAAAAAAGGCCCAGGATACACAGGGTTGCTTGTCTGAAGTCCTGCATATCCCCTTTCCTTGGTGCTCTCCATGCTTTTCCTGCCAGATGTAAGACATCTGTGATACGCAACTTGGATCACTTGCTTTTGATGGGAAGTGATGTTGGTGAAATAGAAGCTTTATCAACTTTTGATCATGTTTGGCCAGATTTCTCTGAACTTCTCCTTGGTTAACTCCCTGCTTAGTCTTGCTAGGGAGTGGATGAAGTGCCCTTCAAGATATTGGCAAAGCTTGTATTTAAATATAGTGGAATGGGATCCTTTGTTTTTCTTCTCTTTTTAGTAAAACCGCCTGTTTCTCTTTTTTGCTTCTCTTCCATTGGCAATGTCTTGGTAGCACATGGTGAAATGCAGATTGGTGAATTCTGGCAGCCCTCCGGTGGCAGATTTTCTGGCAATTTGCAATTAGTGTAGGGGTTGCTTTTCCAGTATTCTGAGACAAGATCCTTAGCTTTCCAGTGTTCCTCCTGCTTCCCCTCTGCTCTGTCCAGTGATTTCAAGGCTCTTGAAGAACGCGTGTTATTTTTCCCAATCCATCTTCTCCAGAAATCTCTGGTAACAGTGGGGGAAAAAACCCATAATTCCTCTTTCCCCCTTCCCTGCAAACTTTTCCATCCTGAAGAAGCAACCAGTGATGCTGTAGGTAAGTCCCTTCTAGCTAAAAAAGATGAGCGAGTGAGACAGCTGTACTTTTGTTCCTGTTGATCTCAGAACCTTCATATTGGATTGACCAAATGCTGCCTGGATTGGGGGTTGGGTTTATTGATCCTTACGGGTCCCTTCCTATTTGAGATATCCTATGACTGGACCAGCAAAGCACCAGTGCTGATTTTGTTCCATCTGCTTGCAGGCACAGTGTGAATTAGTGACAGCAAGTAGGGATGGAGGGAGGACCCTCATGTGTTTTTCAGAGTGGATGTATTGGGAGCTGAGGGAATATTCTCGGGGAAAATGCCACGGTGTTACCTTTGCAGCTTTGGCTGGGTAGAGTGTGCTGCAAATTGAGAGAGATTCCATTGGGACTAATGCTCCTGGATAAGGTGCTGAGTTTTTCTGCCAGAGCATGTCAGCCCACAAGAAAGAGCAAAGAGCTTGGCTATCACCATGCATGTGATAAATGAGGTCAGAAAAGTAGATCTTCGTTGAGTTGAGACACATAGAGCTCTCAGGAGCTGTGGTGTTCCCCGTCTTTCTCAGCCTTTATGGCAGATTGGTGTACTGTGCTCCGATGGCTGCAAGCTCCCGATTGGAAGAGTGTCCTGGGTTGATTTGGATCTTTGTGACCTTTTTGCACAGGCATTGAAGTACGTGGGTCTTGGGCTTGTGTATCAGGGTGTGGTGAATTGTCTTCCTTGAGAGGATAAGGGCTAAGAATATGGTCTTTTTGCTGAAGGAGAGGTGAAGCGGCCCTCTGTCTGTTTTGAATAGCCTGGAAACCAGGACAGTTATTCCTCTTCTGACAGATGGAAGATGGCGGGGAAGAGGAATGAGCGCTTGCTTTCATACCGTGCTCCATGGTGGAAGTGATACAATCGCATAGAAAACATGTAGTGTAAGGAAACAAAGGAAAGGCAAAGATGAAAGAAGAGAAGGGGCAGGAGAAGGAAGTTGAGAAGCAAGAGGAGAAGAAAGAGAAGGAAGAAGCAATGCAGGCAAGGAAAAGAAGCGAAGAACAACTAAAAACAATAGAAAGAAGGAAGAGTAAGAGAGTGAGAAACTACAAGAGAGATCACAAGCGTGTCACTGACAGTATCATTTGACTCAGGAAGAGAGGAGGGCAGGAAAGGAGGACAGAAAGAAGGAAATAGAGTAAGGGAAAGCAAAATGGTAGAAACGTGATAGAAATTAATGACAGAAGGATGTAATGAGGAAGGGACTGAAGAATACAAAGAAAGAAAAATAAAAGGAGCTAAGAAGCATGCACGGACTGTACCCATGGACACAGAACACAGCTGTTCCTTAACAGCCTCTCCCTTGGTTAGAGCACCTCCGGCGCTGATGGCCCGTATTCGGCAGGATGGTTGGCACCGCGGCGCCTGAGAATTGAGAACTGGCAGCAGAGTGAAGAGAAGGGGATGATGGAAAGAGAGCAGAACGGGAATAAAATATCGGGAAGTAAGAAAGGGGGGCAAAAGTGAAAAGAAAACGGAATACAAAAAAGAAGAATAACGAAAGAAAAGGATGAATGATACTGTAAAGAGAGGAGGAAAAAAAAGGAAAGGGAAAGACAGAGAGATGGTGACAGAGAATACAAACAAGAAAGCCAAATGAAAAAATAAGGAGATGGAGGAAGAAAACGTATATTTGCAAGCAAACACTAAGACATGAAAAAAACAAAAAAACAAAACAAAACCCAAAAAACAAACAAAAAATCCCAAAAAGCAAAACCAAAAATAGAATAAACCCACCCAAAAAAAACCAAACAAAACCCCTCCCCAAAAAAAAACCCAAAAAAACCAACCACAAAAACAAAAAAAACCCCTCAAACAAACAAAGAGAAAACCCCAAAAAACCCACAAAAACCAAAGAAGAAAACAGGAGAAGTGGATCAAAACACGGCAGAGGATATGACCATCCGAGGCAGCGGCACGGCTGCT